ACTGCACTCCAGTCTGGGCGACAGAGTAAGACTCCAACTCAAAAAAAAAAAACAAAAACCACAGATCACATACATATTATTTTCCCCAATTGGCTTTTATGCAAAAAAAGGTCATTGTCTTCTGGCTTATATGATTTTTTCCTTAGAAAGGTGTTTTTCAATTTCTAAGTAGCCAAGCTTACAAATGTGCACGCAGCTTATTGGCTGGGGTTGCGTGTCTGAAAATCGGGGGTCCTAGAACTCCTTCCATTTTTTTGTTGTCTTGATCCCGTCTATAGACTTGTTCTCCCCGACCCCTCAAGTTCGACTCATCCCCTTCCCTGAAATGCTAGGTTTCTCCCCACGTGTATCCGTGTCCTGCCCAGGGTGTGCATTTTCCAGCCCTGGCTCCGCTTCCCGTGAGCCTTGCCAAGGCTGAAGCTTCGACTCCCCATCCTCCTTGCTCCCCCAAGTGCCTGTCCAGTGTCACCGCCCGCACGCCCTTGCACGTCTCACCAGAGTTGCAGTGCCGACAGCTCTCACAGTGGGGCCGGGTGTGAGGGTCTGGGGAGAAGGAGACCCCTGGTATGCACGGGTTGCAGTGAGCAGCCTTTCTGTGCTGGTCACAGTCCTTCACGAAGAACGTTCCTGCCAGCAGAGGGGCCTGGGTCAAGGGCCAAGGAAGCTCCGTTCTGTGCCCCCCTCGGGCGGCGCCTCCCAGCTGCTGCAGGAGTCCTCTCCCTGCTTGAGCTCAGCCTCACCCCGGTCTTGCCTGCACAAGAGCCTCGGTCCTCCCCCACTCACCCGGCCCTTTGCCCGCTCTTACCTGGCTCACACATCTGGCAACACAGCCCTCCCTGAGCCCGGTAGTGCCTCTCTGGACAGGTCTCGGGGCCTCGGGTAGCTGAGAGCCCCGCCAGGGTCGCTAGGACGCACAGCCAGCAGGGAGTGGGCCGTGCCATGGCTCCTGCCCAGGGAGCTCTTTCTGTGCCCAGTTGATGCCCGCCGGCCCCTCCCAGCCTCCTCCTTGCCCCACCTGGGCAGCAGTTAAGCTCCTCCCTGAGCTGCCCGCTTCAGGCGGCAAGCCAGCCTGTGGTGGCGTCGAAGCTCTCTTGTGGCTGCTTTTTTCTCACAGCGGCAACCTCCGCCCCTCCCCTTTTCCGCATGCTGGGGAGGGCTAAGGGCCCACTCGGGAGACCAGCCGCGCTCCAGAGCCGTCTCCTCCGACACGCGCGCGTCCTCTGGCTTCTGCCTCCCTCCTGCTCACGGCGCCTGCAACCTTCCACACCTGCTTCCTTCACAGAAAGCGGATGACACACGCCCACAGCCGCCCACTCTCCCGTTCACGCCCTTCCACGCGATGCCTGCACTGCTTCCGTCCCTCCCGGCCCTGCATCCCTCCTTCACGGAGGCAACCGTCAGAAGGACGAAGGGGAGCCGGGATCGAGCACAGGGCTCCCAACTCTCGTCTGAAAGCTCTGAGGTCCGATAAGCTTCGGAGTTCAGTTTTCCAGGATGATAGAGAAACTAGCAGCACAAAACACCCTCAGGGAGCTGGGGTAGCAGGCATCATCCAGCGCAGCGTTTGTGCAGCAAGACCATTGAGTAGGACACGAGGTGGGACAGAAAAAGACTCTCGCCTTGCATTAACTGGGGTCTGGTTTGGGGGCCAAAAGAGTTGGCTACAGAATTTTCAGAAGCGCGAGCAAGGGCCCGAGGCCCGTGTGTCTCCCCTTCACGCTCGGCAGGCGGTCACGCAGGGTCGGTCTAACCTCACCAGCCTGTGGTGGGGGCGCCAGCCCCTGCCCCCTCAGACCCCGGCTCACCCTCCTCCTCACCCCTGGGCAATCTTTCTCCACCCCCTGGCCACTTTGGGCTGTGGGTCACCGGTGTCCTGGGGCACCTCCCCCCTTGGCACTGGGCACCAGGGACTTCCTGTGTGGGTTTCCTTCCTGTGTCCTCAGGTCTCCTGGCAAGACTGATTTGGGGATGTTGGAAGCAGCTGGACCTGCTGCTCTTTGGGTCCTGGGGACACATGTGGGCCAGCGGCCCCCCCAACTCTTTCCCCAGCGGCCGACATGCTGGGTGGCTTATTTCCCCAGGAAGTTTTTCACATAGGGGCTTTGCAGCTGTTTCCACACTGCTCATAAATGTCACACGCCTGTGGTCGCACCTGCCAGATCTGTGAGATCTGCTCTCTCTGTCTTACTCTTTAGTTTCCTTTCTCTTCATTTCTCCATCCCCTTCCTTTCCCCAGCCCCCTCTGCAGCTCCTCAGGGGGCTCCGCTCAGGTGGGAAGCCACATCTCTGGGTGTGATTTTCAGGCCTTCTCTGGCCAGGCCACACTTTCCACGATCAGGCAGGGCACCTGAATGCCTCCTGCAGAGAGCGCTAGCTTTGGGACCTCGGAACTTTTCTGTCACTAACCATTAACCATTCCCGGGTCACGGTAAATATCTTCGCTGTTAATTTTCTTTTCTTTTTTTTGAGTTGGAGTCTCACTCTGTCGCCCAGACTGGAGTGCATGACCGCTCCCGGCCACCGCAGCCTCGACCTGCTGGGCTCCGGCGATCCTTCCGCCTCAGTCTTCCAAGTAGCTGAAACTACAGGCATGCGCTACCACACCCGGCTGACTTTTTGATTTATTGTAGAGATGAGGTCTCACTGCCCAGGCGGGTCTCGAACCCGCGGGCTCAGGCAATTCACTCACCTCAGCCTCCCAAAGGCGCGGGATTACAGGCTGAGCCACCAAACCCGGCTCGCTGTTAACTTTCAAGCTCAAGGCAGACACTGCTGGCAGCAGGCCCTGGGGTGGTGGATGAGACCCTGAAAGGAAAGGAGGAGTTGGAGTTAGTTCTTCAGGGGAGACTTGCCAAAGGGGGTGGGGAGTTTGCTGAGAGCTGAGAACCGTGGCCAGGTGAACTGTGCACTCGCCCAAGGGCTCTGTCCTCTGGGCCAAGGCCCGTCTCTTCTACGTATGGCTTCTCCAGGGGCATCAGAGCCGAGCAGGGTCTGTCCCGCTCTCCCGGAATAGCCTCAGCCAAGAGGAAGAAAACCCAGCTTCTGGGCCTCCTTCTTCTCTGGGCGATGGAACCTTGTCTCCTGCCTCCTCTGCTCTGTGCGTCCACTCCTGGTGAGCCCTGCCCCGTCCTAGGCTGCCTGCCTGGGCGGTCCCTTCCTTCCGTCTCCAGGCCCTGGGGGTCCTGCCTGCTGACCTCCTCGCCGCTTTCCGCCACCACTTTCTCTTTGGGGTCAGCCTCTCTCCATGCCGGCTGGGGCAGAGATACATGGTCTCCTCTCAGCAGCTCCCTGCTTTTTTCCATCTTCAGAGACAGGCCCACAGAGCCCTTCTCTTTGGGGGACTTTCATAACTTGATTTTTAGGCCAGTCAAGCAGAATTTTCATAACTTTTGCAAGGGCCTGACTAAACCCTCTGTCTTGACCGGGCTGGGGGTCCACTGGGTCACCCTGCTCCTCAACATCTAGGCAAGGGACTCTCTCTTTCCATTCAGGGCAAGTCCCGGGCAGGATGCAGAACAGGCCAGCCGGGCCACTTGCACAGATTCCAGTGGGTCTGGAGTTCTCACGGCTGCCTCTAGTCCTTGCTCCCTTTCCAGCTGTTCCCACCTCTGTGTCTCATGGCTGTCCCCCTATCTCTACCCTGCCTCAGGCCCAAAATGTAGGACACAAAACTTGACTGAATTTATCTCTGAGCCAACAGTAAACAGAAGGCTTAATAACCTGTGGCAGAACTTTTCTTTGTCCTCCAAGGTGCGTGTGTGTCTGTGTGTGTGTGTCTCACTCTGTCACCCGGGCTGGGGTGCAGTGGCACGCTCATGGCCCCTGCAGCCTCCACCTGCTGGGCTCAGGTGATCCCTCTGCCTCAACCTTCCAAGTCGCTGGAACTACAGGTGTGTGTCACCATGTCTGGCTAATTTTTTGATTTATTGTAGAGACTAGGTCTCACCAAGTTGCCCAGGCTAGTTTCAAACCCCTGAGCTCAGGCGATCCTCTCATTTCCATCTCCCAAAGTGCTAGGATTACAGGCATGAGCCACTGCACCTGGTGCTTGTTTTTTTTTTAGTTGAGGTCTCACTCTGTCACCCAAGCTAGAGCATGATGGCACAATCATGGCTCGCTGCAGCCTCGGCCTCCTGGGCTCAGATCATTCTCCTTCTTCAGCTTCCCAAGTAGAGGGTACTACAGGAATGTGCTACCACACCCGACTGATTATTTGATTTTTTTGTAGAGACGAGGTGTCGATATGTTATCTAGGCTTTTTTTTTTTTTGAGTTGGAGTCTTACTCCGTTGCCCAGGCTGGAGTGCAATAGCATGCTCCTGGCCACTGCAGCCTCGACCTGCTGGGCTCTGGCGATCCTTCCACCTCAGCCTTCCAAGTAGCTGGAACTA